ACCTGAAAACGTGACGATAGTAAATGTTGCTGTGACAACACCGATAGAAACCACAACAACTGCAATACCAACCATCACCATCACCACAACCACTGCCACCACCATTTATTTCGTATCTGACAGTTTTAGCGGTAACAATCAGAAACCACGAATTAGAATCAATGAACAACACTTACAGCACTTATTAACAACTACAGCAGCAACCAAAATAGATCGACAAACATTTAACAAAGTTTGTGTTGAAAGCATTTTTTTTCTGTTAAATGTTTATTTTTTCAAATTCTTTAACCACCTGCCGTATTCCGCTTGGTTAATGGTTTTTATTGAGCAGAAAAGAAAAAAAAAGAACAGCAAAATATCAATGCTTATGAGTTGTCAAAACATAACAGCTATACACATTATATTTGCCATCTGTACACCGTTGCTTAAAACCGTTTGCAAAAAAAAAAATTACTGTTCATTTTAGTTTTATAAAATGTTGTACAGTTTTGGTATACAGCTTTTTACCACTGTAATGCTGACAATGTTAAGGAACATCAGCCCAAGTTGGATACAAAGTTAGTCGGCGAAATTAAACAAACTTTATCGCGTGACGACCAGCACCGACCTTTGTTCAACTCCAGAAAAGTTGAATTCAACATTCAAGACGGTTAGGCTTCAAGTATATCAATTTTCACAAAAAGGAAGCTTTTTTATCAACTTTTTTCTTCTTCTTTTTTTGAAAAAGAAGTGGTGAGGGAGGTGGGAAGAGAAAAGAGGATAAAAAAAGGCAATAACAAAAAAAAAAAAAGCAAAAACGAAAAAGTCTTGCTCTGAATAGTTGCTCAGTAGCAGTGTGAAAAAAACTGTTCACAATTGTGTTTAAAAAAAATTATTGCTTTTTTTGCATGGTTTTTCTGAGAAAGTTTTTTTAGTTTGTTAAATTTTCTTTCTAAACCACACAATTAAGTGAAACATTAACGCCTCTAAACAGCTTACCGTCTTATTGATGTCACGTAATCTTTAAAGTATGTAAATTTTACACATTTCTGAGACAGAAAAATACAATGCAATTATCAGTTCCACTGTTTAAAACAAAACAGCAAAAATCATTAAGCAGTAACTGTTTTCAGACTATTATTTTTATCTTTGTGTCCTTATTTTTTTGCTTTTCATCTATAAAAAAGTGCGAAAATCAAGACAAAATTAAAAATGATGCATTTTTTAAACTGTAATTTCCAGTGCTGTAAAACGCAGACCAATTAGAATATTTAATTGTTTTCAGTACTTTACAATCTTCAAAAAAAGCATTTGCGTTTTGCTTCAGTCTATTTTACAAACCGTTAAAGACGGAGATAACACTGTTTTTACTCTAACATCATAGTCAAGGGAAAAAAATAATTACAGCTTTAGTTGTTGAAATTATTTCAGAAATACTTCCTTACAATAAAATAAAGTAACGTCTTTCTGATCAAAAAAAAATTTTTTTTGGGGTAGCTTTACGGTAACTTGGTATTTAGTCAATGTTTTTGAAGTGGTAAATTTGTTGCTTTGACATTAATGCCATAAAAAATCAAGTAAGACTTTCGTAGACAAATCCACTTCCCTCTTAGCAGCAAAAAAAATTGCCTAAACAAAGAATTCCGCTTTCTTCTATGGGTTGCTTGTGGAAGTAAGCTACATAACATTACAACACAGCAACCAATGCCACAGATGTAATCGTTGATTGAGGATAGTGCACTCTCACTAGTTCAACAGCATCAATAGCAGCAGCAGCAG